TAATTAATACAGTTTATTGTAACATTTTCATTATAAAGGGTTTTACAAAAACCGCGACACGTGTTTCGCTATACAATAGCTTGAGGAAGCTACAATTTAATTTCAAAGCTTTTTCAATTGGTGTATTCCCCATGCTGACCTCAGATATTGAATTTTTTAATAAACTGAAGAAAAGTATACGAATTTAAGGAACCTATCACAAAATTTCTCATTTTGAATATAATTCCAATTATTGTTTCACAGATACGATTTCAGAGCTGCACATTTCGGCCTGGATGCCTACAAGTTACCCGAAAGAATCGGAAGAGCTTCTAGTTGGGATGCAGTTAAGACCTTGAAGCCGACAAAAATATTCATGAAATGCGAGACAATAGACCTACTTCACAAGCCACAAACTTTTTTTTTGCTTGCCTAACAAATGTACACAGACTGACCGCCGATTATCTCCTTACTAGATTGAGGAATATGTACCATGGTCTGTCAACCTTAGAGTGGGTTATGACAAATCCAAAGAAATTTTCGAAGTCTTTCAGTATTTCTACCTTCTCATTCGTTGCATCAATTGTTCGTTTATGAAATGCACCTATATAGAGTAGGTAATCGCAACATCCTTGCAGAAATATTTCTGCAATTTCTGCAGTTAAATGTTATGGCAAATTTTTTCTTCTAATGAAAGATCGATCCTTAGGGGAGAGACCGGTTAAAAGTCATATTTTTTGTCTTTTGCATTTTTAGTGTCCTTTTTTATAGATTATCAATGATATTTTTATATCAATAGAAAGTGTTTTTATACTCTTTTGAAAAGAAATATTTATTTTTTCTCCAACATCATCCATAGAGAAAATATAAAAATTCTAACGGAAAAAAGTGTGACTATTAAGCCCGTGCCGGAGATGGATGTCACAGTATCTGGGGCAGGTAGTCACATAGTTAATTGAGGGGAATAAAAACATTCGTTTAAACATTTTTAATGAAAGTGGAATAATAGACATAATCATTTATATATAAGAAGAGAAAAAAAATGTCTTATTCGTAGGAAAAAAACTTATTGGCTCCAAATAAATAACTTCCATCTGGTAACTTGAAAAACAAAAATATGAGTCGATCAGGCCGCAATGCTTGTAAACTAAATATGCCCAACCTATTGAAATTATGATTAGTCACCAGGGCCGTCGCCATGGGGGGAATGGGGGGAGCATCCCCCCCTGCTTTTTCGACTTGGGAAAAAGTTGGGACATTTTGGGCCATGAAGATACAAAAAAATAATAATAAAAACATGAATAAAAATTTTAAAAAATAAAAAAGAGAGAAAAGAAAAGGAGAGGTAATAAGAAAAGAGAAAGAACCAGGAGAAGGTTGGGATTTCCCAACATGCATAACTTGAAGAGAATTCTGAGTTGTTTGAAATCTTCAAAAAAGTTTAATTTCTCCCAAGTAAGAGAACAGTCCACAAATTTTGAAGTGACAATTTTACAAAATTACCAACTTTTCGCTGTTTTTCCGACTTGGAAAAGTTGGGAAATTTCGGGCCGTGAAGATAGAAAAAATAATAGTAGAAAACAATAAGCGCAATATTATTTAAGTGATGTTTCCTTTCTTTTGTATTGAATCTTCCTGTACATGGTGGATATGGTGGAAGACCAGGGACCTTGGTCCAAAGTAGAATAATTCCCATTATTATTTTTATAATCACCAAAATTTATTTTTGTTCGTGCATACCCTAACGGGCATAAGCATTCAGCCAATATTTAGTAGTAACTAATTCCTCGGGTTTCATTTCTTCGAAAGTTGGGAAATTTTGCTGGTGGAGTTGGGAAAATTTGGATTTCTTCCCCCCCTGGTTTTTCTTTTCGCTACGGCCCTGTTAGTCACTCTAAAATTCGGTGAATTTTCTAAATCATAATTATTGCAAATGTAACGTGGTGGTCTGGTACGGCGAATGTAATCTGATAGTATTTGCGGTATGATCATGGAGAAGCGTGATTAGTAATCTATCTGTGGTCCCGAAATATGTCCCGATTGAGTGGACAAATTTTACAGTTTTTAAACCCTGCGAGAGTATTTGATGGAGTTGCTGAAAGAGTCTGTCCAATGATTTTTGAAATTTAATATATCGGCATTTTTTTTGGTCGATGATTTACCATCCGTTGATCCTTTGCGTTGTTGATGTGTTTTTCAATATGTCCCCAAACTGACCTGTCCAAAGCTTGTAGGCGGTGAGTTCGATGTGGTGGGAAAGAGAGCAGTACTATGTAATTTTTTTCAGCAAAGTTTAGTTCTTCAATAAACAAGTGGGAGCTGTGATTGTCTAACAGCAAAAAAACATACATAGATTTTTCCTTCATTGATTTCACGTGGTTCGGATTTTCATTGAAAACAGAAAGCTCCAATGCTATTTTTGAATATCCTTGGGAGACAAACCAAAATAAATACTTGAAGCCATAAGTATGTATTTTTCCAATTCTTCCTTCTGTTTGTCGGTGAAGATTTGCCTATACCGTTGATAACCAGTTTTTGTTGATGATATTAATAGCACCGTGTTGCTTATCTCTTTGAAATGATGTTTTACAAAACTGTGTCAGAGTGCGATAATAATTAATTACAAAAATCCTTCGCTTTTTTCACTTCTTTTGCAGTAGCAATACTGCGTTTAATACAAATCTATCAGACGTTCTTATATGATACCGTGACATTTCTAAAACGAACAAAATTGTATATAGCAGAAGCTCGAAAAGCCAACAAAAAATACAGCACACAGATATGGTGATGGTTGTCACATGACAACCAGCCCCAAAACATAGCCCCCTGAAATAACTCTGAATCATTCATTCATAAAAACTAAAAGTAATATCATGAATCACAAATGTTACATCAAAAACACATGAAATAATATATATCTACGGAAAATTCTAGTATACTTATGAGACTCGACACAAATGCACAAAAACTTACTTTTGCCGTCCAAAAAAAAAACAAATGTTCGAGAACAAATGTATGAGAGAGAACTGAAACGACGTTAGGATGTAGGTATTGCTCTCGCGATCCTTCGATGTCCTTCAATAAACTCTTTTGTTCGTTCAAGAAGGAATATTTAACACGTATATTTAGTATTGTTAAATCAGAGAAAATATTATCAATACAATTATTAATTCTTGTTGGTTCATTGACAAAGTGTCTTATATTGTGACTAGCTAGTAAGTTTACGAGTTCTTTTTTGTCTGATTCTTTTAAGAAATTTATATTTACATCTCCACATAAAACATAGTGGTTTCTTACATTGTAGATTTTATGGAGTAGTTGCTCAAGACACTGGATGAACTTCTTGACATCACCTGTAGGTGATCTGTATACCGTAATTATATAGACATTGTTAGATAATTTACATTCCAATAGCGCTATGCAAGCCTCAAAATCTTTTTCTATGCATGACTTAAAGTTTATACTTTTAATGTTAACATTATTTTTAGCATAAACGCACACCCCACCATTTCTAAATTTCGTTCTTGAATAGAAAGAAACTAATTTAAAGTTATCAATATATGTCATTTTCATTTCATCTTCTTTCAGCCCATGTTCAGACAAACAGAGTATGTCTGTATTGTGCTCCATCACTGTGAGCTGTAGAAGTTTATTTTTGTCTGACAAACCTTGTATATTGAAGTGCAAAAAAAAACATTAGAAAGAAAAATGTTTTATTGATTGAAAATAAATTATTTTATATACAGAAAAGTTCAAACTTCAACCACAGGAAAAAAAGGGGTTATAGTAACCTAAAGCTTGAATTCGTTGAAAACTAAACATTCAAAATTGAAATTGACTTATCATTAATATAGAATAACTCCAAGTGTTGAATAAGTGACTGAAAAATCAAAATCAATTCCTGAATTCGGAACTTGGGTATTTATTCTTGCCCCTTCACATTGAGAACTGTTGCATATGTTTGAGAGTAGTTGATAATGTTTCTTGGTGAATGTTACAAGTTCGGAAAGCCATTGTTTGAAAAGGTGTTAACACGTTTGATGAAAAAACAAATAAAATTAAAATGATGTTAAAATTATTGAGAATACCAACTAAAAATTACCAGACCGTATTAATCAGTCGAGTTAGTAGAAACAGAAATAATATGAAAGAAATTTTTAAAAAATTAACAAAAACGATTAAGCAATGAGTGTGAAAATTCGGAAAAATGCAAAGAATGCTAACTGAACAATATATTGTGTACTGAAAGAAAATGAATCGATAAATGGGTAAACAATAATTAAAATTTCAAATATAATACCTGTATATGCACATAAAAATGAATGAAAAACACTTCAATATGAAATTTATAAAGTTTAGAAATTCACATGATCATCAAACAAGACACCTCAATAACCTGTTGATAAAAAATTTCAAATCTGCATTTTCCAGAAAATCTATATTTTTATTAACTGATCCGAATATTTTGGTCCAGTAGCTTTGAGTAGAAATTTTCAATAATTTTTAAGATTCATTAATTTTTTATTTGTTCTTCCGTAGATAACAAATCTGCTTACACCTCTTGTAATATTCACCTTTGCATATATTCTGACAATCTAAGTACAATTTTCTTTATCAACAGTAATACACCAACATTAAATGTTAACATGAGAATATCAAGAATAAGTCCCAGATTTAATTTCTTTAACAGTATATCATTACCATTTTTTTTTTCACAAGCTGATTAGAGATTTCAAAAATACTGAAATTGTAAAAAAGTAAGTTTTCAAGTCTAGCATGCCGAAAATAAAGCATTCTGATATTTCAAATCTTCCATTATTATCAATCCGAGCAGCTTTCAAAAGCTGTCTATAGTACGTCACTTGCATTCAAAATCAACAACCAAAATTACAAGTGTTTCTTGACTAGAGAATTACGATACCTCTAAAAGAAATGACATTAGACCCCTATTCTTAAAATGAACAGAGTACTTTATTGATAAGTCATAAATGTTTCACTGTTAGACAAGATCTTCAAATAAGAAAACTATAAGAAATAAATATATTTCAGGAAACCACTTGAAAATAATTTTCCAATTTATAATATAGCATAACTATAGACATACAAAAGTTAGATTTTTCCAATCCTATAACTATCTTAGATTACAAAAGATAGTGACTCAATTTAATTGAATTAATCATGAGACCATTCCTAACTGAAACCTCTTGTTTGATATATGTTTGGAAAGTTTATATTATACAGGGTATATTGAAATGACGAAAAATATTTTAAAACTACAACCTATACGGTAGCTAATACAATCATTTTGTAAGTATATCAGTACCATGTCATTGGCCTAAAACAGTTTTTCAAGGTATACAATATCCGAAAGAGATTTCAATGAATTTTGATAATGCAATAAATTCTGAACTTGAGGACTAGTAATTTTCTCAATCATGTCTTTTAAGGCTAAAATATAATAAAAATTACAGCATGTGTTTTACATGGAATTCAATTTAATCACTCACAGCGCTTGATTTAACAAGTTTTTTGTTTCATCCAATGCTTGGCTTTTTTTTTCTATGATCATAATTAACCAATCTCTGGCCAACTAGATACTTGTCGTTCTTAATATGTTCGTACAAATTTTTGAACTGTTTTATTTGTAAGTAAACTAGAATACTAGCCATAGAAAATAATAGCAAGCATGGATACAATCGCCTCGCAACAATATTCCTCATTTGTAAATTGTTAACAAAAATCGGTACCAAGGAATAAGCAATAATGTAAGGTACTGAAAGTGCTAATCCAAAACTAATTATGACTGGAGCTGCCAGTTCTTTAATTATAAAAGTTAAATTCATATCACGAATACCATCTCTGTATGCTCTTTCAATGGCTGATCGCAGAAACCAATCAGGGCCCATCATTGTAACAGCACATGCTATTTTCGTATATAATACACCCAAGGCCCAGTCCTGCCATATGAACAAAATGGGCGTCTGTTGAATTGGTACTCTGAGTGGTACAATGACTACAAGCTCCAACAAAAGTCCAAACAATAACGGTATCACTCCCAATAGTACAATACTTGCTATGACGGTCTTGAGTCCTATTATGCCCCACTGTTTGAGTCTTTCAATCATTGCAGCTCTTCCTTGTGGCATCCAATTCAATATGAAGGTAACACCCCTAGCAACCACCCAACACACATAAAGACCACATGCCGAAGTGTACAGTTCGTGCACCTTCACTTCAGTCTGGGCATCTGTAGCAGAAATTTGGGGAGCAGGAGGGGAGGCACCAACAAGCCAAAGAGACATGATATTGCGGCCCAGCCAGACCGGTAGAGTTAATGCTATTAGACTAGAAGCTACTAGCGAAAAACATACGGCGATGAGAAGCCCCACTAATCTTGGGATGAAGAAGGAAGGACGAGTATATGGCTGAAAACCTACAAAGCAATATGTTACAGAAATACATGAAAAATTATCTAGAGTTGAACCGACGAAAGAGTACACATGCATCAGCAATATAGGATAAAACACATACTTTTATATAGCATCCTTCCCTCCTACAAGTGAAAAACGAAGACAAAAGCTCTTTTTTGAATGATTGACTGAAACACTGTCATCCTCACTGGTATACATCGATGTTTCGCCGTAAGACACTTGCCCTAAGGCTCTAATCCGGTTATCAACTGAAAAGACCGCCACTGTTTTATGGTCCAACTTACTTCCCATAAACAAACAAAGTTATACTGCCTTCAATGTAAGGATGGAAAAGGCCTCTCAATTGTCTTTTGTTACTCTGAGGAGTACCCACATAACTTTCCGTGATCTTTATTAAAAAAAAAAAGGAAAGTTAGTATTTAATCAGCCTTTTCTCCGTAAAGCCCCTTGCGATAATATTATTGGTCTGAGAGTAAATTAAAAAGAATATTTTATGAAACTGTCGAAAACTCCAAAAAGAGGAAATATTTACTTGGATTATGTTAGTAGTTTTATTCACCATTTTATTTTTCTTGAGAAAATTACATCAAGAAAATTTTGAAGATTGACGTGAACTTTCTCAAAAGACTGAAAATTACACATGTCAAATAACTACATTGTCTCTGTTCCAGAAACTGTAAGGGCCCCCGCACACTGGCAACTTTGTCAAAGCAACTGTTTGGTTGCATTAAAGTTTAAAGAAATCTAAATGACGCACACGGTAGTGGATGCAGCCCAGCGCACGGGCGACTTTTAAATAGCCGTGTCTAAATAATTGCGTCTGACCTATTCCAAGGGTGACTAAACAGTTGCCGGCAGAAATGAGCAACGTGAATTTTTGCGTAACCTCGCGCACTGTCAACTATTCAGTTGCTAGACCTTAGGCTAATTGCACACACACACACATGCTTACCGGTGATCGGCGTCGATCACCGGTAAGCATGTGTGCCAGGTCTCGTTGCCACATGTGGTTCACATTGGAATTTGGACGACCAGTATAAAATCGGCCGTCCTCAATCGGTGTGTGTGCAATTAGCCTTAGTCTGGAGTACATGTGCATTTCCTATTTTTCAAAGCAATGATGACGGTAGATATTGAAACGTTTATTTTGGCAATCGAGAAGCGGCCAGCGTTGTACAATGCATCTAAAGGAGTATGCTGATAAAAATGTATAAACATTGGTTTATTTTAAGAAGTTCTAAAACAATTTTTCATTTACCAAAAATGTCATTTAATAATTAAATACTAATAAATCTTTTTTATTCTTACTTTATGTAATTTAGATTGCAATAAATTATTAATATTTGGTAGTGTTAATTAATTTTTTTTTCTTGAGGTGGTACAGCCTGTCGTAATGATGTATTTCGGTACGTAATTAGTGTGCCAAGAGAAATCAATAGACGATCAAAAGATTCTATGCTCATTCTAAAATAATTGAAGAACTAGTTTGGATGTTCTTTCAATCTGTCGAAGAGTCGTAAAATAATTAATGAATGTACCCAAAACGTTTTGTTCCTTTGCACCACCAGCGCGGTGGTGGACAATTCATGGGTGAGTAAACTTTGTGCGTTCCACTGAGCACTCACAACGACCACGCTCACGACCATGGTTTTTGCCGTTCCACTTGGTTCTGGGCGTCACAANTATACATTAAATTCATGTATTTTTTCTGCAACAAAATCGGAAACTACTATTCTAGGTTGAGAAAAAATTATTAGTCTCATTTTTTTAAAACACGTAAATTATTAGGAAAGTACGAATATCCTAAGGAACACTATATAAATTAACATATAAACTAGGCGACTTGTGTAGCCCAGTTCCATGACTTTGTCGCCCAATGAACGTAGCACGTGCCGGCAAATTTTTACGGGAGTAAAAATTTTAATTCAAATACAGTTAAAATTTGCCTGCAAAAATTCCACCAGTTCTTTCGGACATCCCTACCGTTACTCGTAGCCATAGAGCCCGAAAACTTCCATCACCTATAGGATTTCGTAACTTATTCAACCATCCTGAGTGATCCAATTGAGTCTGTGACTTGTAAATAAGAAGCACTAGATCCAGCAGATCGAGATTTGTGGATTGAATCAATGGCTTTAGAATTCAAATTTTGATAAGAAAATGGAACTTGGGTATTGATCGACCTCTACACTACAGAAAAAGCCTTACATTGAAAATAAATCTTTCGTACTAAAATAAGATGCCTCCAGAAATATGAAGTACAAGGCTAGGCTTGCAGATAAATGATTCGCTCAAAGGAAAAGAATAGATTAAGATGGAACTTATTCACCTGTTGTGGGGTGGAAGAAGAAATCTACAAAAGCCAACCTACAGGATACAATGTTGACTCCACACGAGTTTGTTTGTTAAAAAAAGCATATATATGCTCTCTAACAGGCGAGTCGAGTCTGGAACGAAAAGTTGGACTCATGTTCGAGAAAAATTGGTCTTCATCAATCTCACTTTGAAAGTAGTGTGTATTTCAAGATAGATGGCAATTGCTAAATTTAGCCGTATGGGTTGATGATCTTATATTCTCGAATAATAATATATCAAATCTGAGTTGAAGAAAACATTCAAAATAGCTGACCTCGAAAAAGATTTTTTTTGTCTTGGATTTCAGTAGTTTTGCTATCATGATAATGAAAAAAATTGGGTCAGTGAAGAAGTGAACATAGAAAAAAATTCTAAAGCGATTCAATATAGATCAATGCGAACCAGTTTCCACATCAATGAATACCAATGAAAAATTCTCAAAGAATCCGGAGCCACAATCTGCAGAAGAATTCGCGAAAATGAAGGAAATTCTTTACCAGGAAGGTATAGAAAGTTAACTTTTCGCAGCCCAGGTTCCGAGGTTGTATATTTCATATGCCATCAGCAGCTTGAACAAATACAACTGAAATCCAGGCCTACTGGGCTACTATCAAATAATTATTAAATATATGTTTCGAGTTGTCACAATTAATTCCATTTTATATCTAAAACTTTCCAAAAATCTACCTTTCATCAGTCGCAGTAATCTGTATAGCTCGTTAAATAACATTCCAAATTTACTAGTCATTATGAAGAGATAACTGTTACACTTATGTGAATAACGGAAGCAAATGATATTTGAATTTTTTAAGTAGGGGTTTTTATGGCAATAATCAAAATTTTTCCTGAGTTTACATTGTTCGAATTCTGAAAACGTTTCATGTAGTTTTCAAAACTGTGCTATGGTCATAATGACTGAAAAGGGAATGGCAAGGATTCGTGTGCTGACTTTCGAGAAGAGAGAGGTTCGAAAACAGGTGCGCTAAAAATCCTTTTTTTTTTCTTTTTTCTATCATTTCTTGTCGTTATTGGGAATTTTTTTGTTTGTAATATTAACCTTCATTTTAATTGGGGCTTCATTGTTATTAGAAAATAGANACATTGTTGAGGGCTATGTTGTACTTTTATTTTAATAAAATTTAGTATTTTCTATCTATGATTATTATTTTTATATAAATCCTCCCATCTGAATTAACCCCCAAATCGCGAGCCATTTGGGCCGCCACAATATAAAAACAATTCTCACCTCCATCTTGTGCTGGAACATTCTCATCAATTTCCGCCCTGACTGCCTCTGGAATATTTTCCAGAGCTCTTTCAACTCCTTCAACTCCTTCAACTTGTACGTTCTCTCTTTGTAACCAGTCAGGACCTCCACCATGCAGAATTTGTTCGCGTAACCACACTAGGCCAGCAAAGGCAAAAAGAGTGCACGTGACTACAAAACAGCCTTGAAATATGTCGGATAACAAATTTTCTGAAGACACAATCTCAAATGGTAGTGTTAAAATGGCATCTACATTACCCGCAAATATAGCCCTGTAATAAAACCTAAAGTTATTCCATATCTGTAGAGAAACAGCCAATTATTTTAAAAATACATAAGTCAAAAATTGATTCAAATGATTGTATCTGAACTGAAATTTGTTCTTATACCGTTCATTGTGAATGTTTTTCGGTTTTTCTTTATACAAAAACATAAAAGAATGGTAAAATTTCAGTTTAAAAAAATAATAAATTCAAGACCACTCACTATAGTGAGAGGTCACTAATGTAAAAGTGGACAAAATTTTGATGTTAATAATAGTATATGATTTTTCAAGCGAGAAATTTGACAATTTCTCGCGAATAGAATATTATACTTTTTCTATGGCTCCCGAATCAGAGTACCTAATACTATTAAATTCAATAACAAGAAACAAACTATAAAAAGCATTGGCACTGTGCAAAAGTTGCAGTGTGCATTTCTTGCGGAAATGTTTTTCCACAGAAGTTTTTTTGGAACGTGTGAAAAACTATAAAACAATAGATGAAACAAGTATTATTTGTTGTGAAAATAGTGATATGGTACCTACCTCAAGCTTAAAATATGTCTCTAGACCCAAAATATTCCAAATTAATTGATGCATTCATCAGACATATCACGGAAGATACCATTCAATTCAAATCATTCAAGAAAAAAATGAAAAATATGCCATATTATTAGAAAATAAACTCCTCTTGAATGAAAAAATACCACCGAAAAAATGGGGGATAAACAAAAAGAAAAATCCCAAAAAAAATCTTGTAAGACAAACAACAAAAGTTTGTGGAATGCTCAGAAATATAAGAAGATACTAGGTGATTCAAATATAAACGAGAGTTTTTTTGGTGATTTATTTTTATTTCAAACGCAAAAAAGAATATAGTTTATTTTTCTACATAATCTCCTGTTCCTGTTCGCTGTAATGTTGGTGCGAGGTCTGCGGTCATGGCTCTCATTTTCAACAGAATCACGACCTTCCACGAACTGTTTATGCCATGCAAAGTCTCTGGCTCGCGACAGGCTCTCTTCCCCGAACTGAGCAGTCAATCTCTTCAAGATTTCGGCCGCAATTGACGGATATACCTCTTGCTCCGACATCGTCACGGTGGACACTGAGAGGGTTCACGTGCCCACATGCTTCCCCTACTCCTGACAAACCTACCCAACAACAAACACAGTGGGAACGTTCACCCTCCACTATTGTGCCAGAAGGTCGAAAAGTCTCGTTTATATTTAATTCACCCACGTATGACCCATCAGCAAAAAATACATGAGACATCAAGTGAAAGGATCAATGTCAATAAAAATACCACCGAAAAATTGGGAGATATAAATCCCAAATAAAATTTTGTGAGACAGAGGTTCCTAATATGGGGCTGATATTGAGTCGTCGGCAAACAGTTTTATCTTACACCTTTTAACATGTATCACAATATCATTTATGTACAGCAAGAATAGCAGTGGACCCAATACTGACCCTTAAGGGACTCCTGAAATTACATTTGAAGTCGTGGATGCCACTTGATTATATTTAACTAGCTGCTTCCGATACGTGAGGTAATTTGTGAACCATTTTAATACTTTATAATCTAGTCTATACTTATTTAATTTCATTAAAAGTAACTCAATGTGGACCGTCTCTAATGCCCTTTTGAAAACCAGAAAGACAACACGGTTTGGTGTTAAGATAAAACTCCAGTAATCATTTATACTATTTATAGTCAAAATTCGTAAAGTTGATAATTTATTGACTAATTATACGCTTTATATTAATAGACTTTCATCTCTGTCTCCACCTTCGCTAATATAGCTCCGTTACAATATTGGCGTAAATCGATAATGCATGTGTATTCTTTTGTTTACCCAACTGAGGTTGGAAATACCTGTGGGAGGTTCCATCATGAGTAATGCTTGGTGAACTGCTCCCAGGCCGCCACCAATTTCAGGAGGATTTGGAGGTGGATTTGCGTTTTGTTCTCCTTCTTGATCTTGTTTCCCATCACCATTTCCAAGTAAATATGAATGTATATTCAAAATCCAGGCAACTACTCTGCACCAGTTTCTCACCAATCCTTAAATTTGAAAGTAGTAATTATGCAATATAAGCGGTGAATTCGTTAGATATACTAAAGTTTCATAATAGTAGGCACTAAGTTCTCAGAAATATTATTGCATTGAAAGGAAAACATTGTTGTCAAGTTGTGATTCTATATATTTTATTATTTCTATTTAAATCATACACACGCAGCTAAAAGGTCATAGAATAACGGGCGGCTAGAGAAANATATATTGATGACAACAGCATCAATGTTTCAATAAATTGATGGATGTAGCCGTTACTACGTGGTAGGATATCATGAAAAATGAGAAATAACACTTTCTATGTTTTTTTTACCACTTTTATTTGTAACTAATGTTACTGTAAGGACATTTTCAAACTAATACAATAAACTAAAAAAAATCATAATTCATAATGTTAACCCTAAACACCACTGTAGTTAATAACAGTTGTACTTAACTTAATTGAGTAGCTGAATTTGGTTTAGCAGGTTACATCCGCAATGCTTATGCTTATGAATTTCCAAATATTTCAAATAATTGAGTTTTCAACCCTTGCTTGATTCGGTGTTTGATAGATATATACAGCTTATCTGCACATATCTTGTCCAAAAGTATTTAACCAAACTAGCATAGAGATACGCAACATATGGAAACGTAATCAAACGGGAAAACGGTCGACTTCCGCTGAACCGATGAAGCGGAGACAGGGAAGAGTGGTCGAAAGAACTGTAAATAGTCCAGTCATCACCTGAAGACGACTGTGGATACTAACGATCAAAACGTGAAGTAACTTCAGTTTGAATTTTTTTTTCAATTATTTATTTCATTTTCAATCGTTCAGCTTAATATAATTGTTATTTTTAGCTATTCATTTAAATTTTCAACTTTGTTTGTTCTTTCAGAGATTTCAAATCATATTTCATATAAGACAATGGAAATCCGAAGTGGTAGAATTCACCAAGAACATTGTAAACCACTTTCAAACAAAAGCCTATGGTTTATTACTAATTTTTCCCGTTTCTTTCTAATTATACAGTTAGAATACTATGGATTTTTGTTTTCAGAATTAGTGAAGCAAAAAAATCAAAACATTGTTTTTCAATGAAGTCTCTTTTCAACTATTTTATAAGTCCTAAAATAGAAAAATATGTGGTTTTGAAGCACATCATTTTCAAAAACTTTGCAGCCTCCTGAAGGGTATAGGGTGGCCTTTTACATTAAATATCAAATAACTGCAAAAGAAGCCAGTCCGAGCCTGAACTTTATAGTCCTCTAAACAAATTAATATGAAGAAGATAATATTCACCTTTCAACCATATCCTGGTATGTGACTGCTCCAATAAAGCTGGTAGGATAACTTGAAGCAACAGCAATTCCAAAGAGAGCTCATTTACCTGCGTATCGTTGCTATTCAGTGACACTGTATATGGTAGAAATTTTGGAAACAACATTTTCAAGATTCTTATTGGCAGCCAAAGCATTAAAAGTACAGCACTGCCAAAAATAACTGCTGATATAAGTAGCTTCTTGATGTGCTCCAATATTGGTAAGTGGATCATTTCTTGGATAGGACTGAAATCGGGATCATTGAAGTTTCGTAAAAACCAAAGGACGCCTGGACGAAGAATTTCTCTCAGAAGAAGAATGAAAGAAGCAAAATAATACACATAGACCATCCCCACCAACCAGTGTATGAATATTGAGGTCCCTGGTGCGGAATTGAAACTGTTTTCTCTATCTTTAAGAGTAGCATCGAACATTGCTAGAGAACAAATATCTAACCACCATCCACAAACCAGAGGAATAATTCCAATTTCCACAACACTCAGCATTGAAACTTTGACAACCACGTAGCATAGACCTAATATCCTCTTGGCTCTATCAAATCCTGTCCAGGCAGCCAATCTGTGTAAAATTACAAAGCCTATCCCCACCGTACAGTAACCTATAAGAGTTGTCAGCAACCCTTCAAAATGACTAGGTCTTGCAGAATCTCTTATATTCAGAAATAATAGAGTCATATGGCCCATGTGGTATGGAGAGTAGGCAAACACCAAAATAAAGAGGGTGTTGAGTGATATGACCCAAAAGACATGCTCTAAAAACATCAGAGAGCCGTCTAACCCCAATAACCGCTCCCAGGTGATCTCCTCTGCAGCTCGGTCCCATTCCATTGGAATCCAATTATCCTCACCAATGTTACCGTCACCTTCTTCCTGCTGGTCTTGGTTTTCTGGTACAACAGCCTCAGCTACTGAAAAAAACACATTATAGATAAGAAAAATTTTGTGTACTACACCCTTAGTGCAAAAAGTTATTTCAATTCGTTTATTTCACTTATCCTTTTAAATATATTTCACTTTCAGAAGTGATGCATTTGCTGTTTATATTATTTTTGTATTAGAAAATTTGACTCTTTCCAATTGAAATATTTTCATAATATTAATGTTCAAGACACAAACTAGTTTTTCAAAAATAATTATTTTGTAGTTACCTTTTACAATCAAAACAAATAAACTTTGCATCATATTGAGGAAGTTTTGATAGCCCTATTGGATTTTCAAAAATATTCATGTAATATGGCGCTATTTAAAAAAAATATTTGAAAAAAAATTTTGTCGAAACTAAGAAGTTTTATGTAGGTTAAATAGTTATATTATAAGTTTAGTATAATTTACGAAAAATGTACAAAAAAAAATGATGATGCACCTGAATTTTTTTATACAGGTCGTATTGCATTTAGAAAAACTTCTAATGACTTCATTAAAAAATTTTAAAAATAATTCCGCTTTTGATTTTATTTTAAATAAAATTTGATACAAAAAAAAATCTGTTTAAAATCTGTTTTTCTGTTCCCTACGAACGACAACCTTCAGAAGTCGAAACTTGCGCGAGCTAAGGATTAACGAGGTCCTACGTTTTCCGTGTGATTCCTTACACGGGTTGGACGATAGATAGCAAGTGAAAATCGATCGTTCAGACTAGGTCTTGAACCACCGACCAACAAGGCAGTCAATTCGAGTGAGTGAACAAACCACCAACGTCGAACCGCCTGGCTACCGACCGTAACATGTTACAACTTTTTGTTTATTTTTCATCTTAATCCAAGCATATATTGATGCCAAAGTTAAATACATATACTGTTTTATAAATTTGATAAATTTGTTTTTGCTATTGAAACATTTTGTGAAAACTGTCCATACTATTCCTGTTTCATTCTTGCTACATGATGTTATGTTGGAGAAACACAGTCTTAGTATTATATAATATAAATAAAATGTTTTTAGTGCAAAAACCTTTTGTATATGAAATATAATTAGAGATTCTAGGAGATGCTGTTGCAAAACCATACTTCCGTAGATTGATATTAAACTGTAGTACCTAATTTAAAAGTTTTGTAATCTACCTGCTCAAGTTTCAAAATTAGGCATAATTTGTCCACCAAATAGTATTACTGATACTGAATTTTCTGTAACCGTAGGAAATTTTAAAATATCATATTTTGTTATAAGTTGTAGTTTAATCTTAACACTGTCAGGCCCTTTACGAACAGTTTCTGAGGAGTGCAAAGGTCAGGCGGGAGGAAGCGAAAAGGTGGAGCTTGCAGGTAGCCAATATATGCTCATAAACACAATATCGGCACAGAAGCAACTCGACAGTGATGGTACGTAAAATACGTTGTAATCGTGTGTTTCTAGGTTTGCGGTTGGATTATTGCAGTTTTATTTCGGTTTAGTTCAGTTCGTAAAGTATGAGTTGTGCTTAATATACATTAAAAGACAAATAGAAGGTTGTTGGAGAGACGTTGGTCCTAAAAAAAGAATGAGTTCGAGTATAAGGCGCATTAATAAGTAAGAAAGTAAAAATTTTTGATTTTCAAAGAAATACTTTTGTGAACCGAAACTAGAAATTTATTGGAGAAGTGAAAAGTTTATTTACGCCGTACAGGCTACATAAAGTAAAAATTTTACGCGTAGTTTATAAAGTTCAACTTTATGCACTAGAAGGTGTGAATTACACTTTTTGTACTCACAACATATCATTCGTGTGTTCCATAAATATTAAATATGTGTCTTATTCTTTATTATTCCAGGTCCAAAACAAACAATGTAACGAACGAGTTACCTTTAATTTTGGAAAATAATAAGAATAACTATCCCAATATAGAAAATATATCTGCAGATCAATTGGACAGCGATAACAGAGAGATAACATCAGATACGAATTCTGGTGAAGATACAAAAACCCAAATGGATGGTAAAACCAATGAACGTAAAAAAAATAAATTTCAAAAAGACTGTTGAAAAAGGAATTATTTTGGTTGGGAAAAGAATTATAGATATCGACCATTTTTTTCAATGCACTGAAAATAATTTCACTTTCCGAAAATCATGATCCCAATACGGAATGCACTCTGCAAAATATTGTTGTTTTTGATGAACATCGTTCTGTATTCGCATCGACTATAAAATTGAAATGTAACATGTGCAATAAATATTACAATATAAAAACTAACTATGATGCCGAAGGAGTGAATGAACAAGTAGTTTTGGGGATCCTGTCAATAGGATTGGGATACAAACATGTTGAAAAGATCACAGCAACATTAGAAATTCCTTATGGATCCCATCGAACATTCGATTAATTTCACAATAGAGTTTGTGAGAAGATAGAGGAGAAATCACCAGAAGTAACAGATGAAGCAATAGAAGAAGAAAAAATTGCTATTGAGTCTGGAAATATTATTAACGGAATTCCATTTATTACCATAAAATGCGATGGATTTTGGGCCAAACGTCGTATAAAAGGAATTATACGTCATTGTCTGGTTGTGGTGTGGTGATTGGTGCAAAAATTAATAAAGTCATTAGCATGAGTAGCATGAGTGTTTGAAATAAATATTGCGTTGTGTGTAAAAAACATGAAAATAAAGGAAGTCAGCCAAAGCCCCATCGCTGTTTCAAAAATTGGATGTTCTCTTCAAGTGC